ACTGTTTTGTAAGTAAGGTATGACTGGAGCCCCGCCCGGCAGGGACAGACACCATCAGGGCCCAGAAAGCCCCAGATCCTTACTCTCTGGTCCTTTATAGAGGGGTTGCTGATCCCTGGGGTAGTGAACAGTCAAGAGCCCCGTCCATGGTGGGTGTCTCGTGACAGTGCCAGGAAGCGGGGGCTTCAGCAGCCTGGATCTCATCCTTGGATCCCATCTGGGTGTGGAATTCCATCTGGGTGTGGATGCGAAATAAAATCAGTATCAGTGACAAAGAGGCAGCCCGTGGCCTCACCTCTTGTGATCCATGCACCTTGGAACCTTCCAGATGTTCTTCTTGGCTCGTGGTCACACAGAGGTGCCGTTCTTACTGGTTTCACAGCGTGGCTTTGCGTTTGCCGGTGTGTGCATGCCTGTCCTGTGGCAGCACGTCTTTGCAGCTGTCATTGTTCTCGTATGCGTTGACTTCATCCCGTGAGTTCCGTTTTGCACAGTCTCATCCTTAGTCATGTAGGCTGTTCCCGGGACTTTGGGTCATCGATGATCGGTGCGGCTGGTGGCTTCTGTACTGATGGATCTTGACGAGCGGGTCTCATGGTTTCCTTGAGATACATCCTGGCATTAACCCTGCCCGGTCAGCTAGGCTTACTCGTTTTCCATTTGGGGACGGATATGGAGACTTGGTGTAACCCCTGGAGGGTGCGTGTCAGCTGGGCCTCCCCAGCATGGGCCTTCTGGGGCTGCTCACCGTGGTGCCTGGGCTGGGGCATCGCTGGCCTGCAGGACGGGCCTGAGTTCCCACCTGCCTGCGGCTCTGGGGCTGGTGAGCTGTCTGGGCAAGTGGGGCTCAGACCTGCCAAGTTCCCGAGGTTTCAAAGGCATCTTCCTTCGCTCTGCTCATCAGCACCTCCTGAGCACCTGGAGAAGACGGGGCTTGCAGAACACCTGGGGCTGGAGGGCACGTTGGCCGGGAGCCCAGAGGCTGGCTCCGAGTCTCCTCATTGAGGAAGTGCAGGGTTGGGCTCAGGGGATCCTGAGTTGGGCTCAGGGTCTGACTTCTACCAAGGGCCCACGGGCGGGGACTAAGGGTACCCCTTCCCCCTAACTCGCCCTGCGCATTTTCAGACCCCTCTGCAGATTCCGGCCCCCTGCAGCCAGTGACAGGAGCCTGGGAAGCAAAGCCGAAGTGCAGGATCATCTGCCTCCGCAGACTCCCAGAACAGACACTTGGAAGGTTTAGAGGCAACCACGCCCTTTTTGGTGGTTGATCTCAAGGCCTCGTGGCCCTGGGAGCCAAGCCCAAGCCCTGCCCATCCCAAGTCCTGCCAGGGCCTGGGAGCAATGGCACATGAACCTGAAGCAGGTACAGGGCCACCAGCACACAAACCCGAGAAAGTGCTGATAAGCAGTGCAAGGTGCACTCCCTCAGGTCACTCAGGCCCCTGCTCTCCTCCCACGGTTCTGTGTCACAGCGTCAGGACTGCAGTGGAATCCACCCTAACACCTTCAAATACTTTTTATGTCTGAATGAGGAGACTCAGAGAAGTTAAGAAACTTGTCCAAGGTCACACAGCTACTGTGTAGTGGAGCGTGGATTCAAATGCAGGTGTTCTGGCTCCAGAAACAGGCCCGTCCAGGGAAGACTGATAAACTGGTCGATTACAATCATTATTTTATGGCCAGAAAATCTACGGTAGTACATCTTGTAACTAGAATGTTCCCCAGTGATAGCAACGTGCTGTCACCTGTGCTCTCTGAGAGGGTGGCCATAGGTAGGTGACTGTGATACCTTTAAAATATGGATCGTACTCCCGAGAAACTGAATGGCTAATATCAGTTGATTTTAATTAATTTAAATTGAATTTACATAGCCACGTGTGTTTAGCGGCTGTTATATCAGCACAGATAGAGACCTGGGGTCCACGGGAGGGGGGAGCTGGGCTCCTGAGCCAGCCTTGGGGGTGGGGCTTCTAGGGAGGCTTCGCTGGAGGAGGACCCTCAGGGTTGCGTCGGCTTTGCCACTAGGGGGCGCTGCAGCAGCCTGGAGCATCCCAAAGACTGAGACCACCAGGGACGGGAGAGGCCGGAGGAGCCAGTGGGAGCACCTGGGGGAGAGGAGGGCTCTGGGGGGAAGGGGGCTGCCCCCTCCAGTGAGGGTGGAGCCTGCTGCGTCTCCCGGTGCTGGGGCTTTGCTTCAGGAACATGGGAGCTACGTGACCGAGCAGGGGCCCTACCGGCTCCGACTGAGCTCTGGAGGTTGGATGGGAGACAAGGATGTTCGGGGGGCTGAGGTGATCCCGCCCCAGCTCTTGCAGGGGTGGAGAGCTGATCTCCTCAGGATGGAACGTTCTGGAAGGAGACACCAGAGGTCTGAGGATCTGTGCCCTGTGGCAGGGGGGCATGGAAGGAGTCAGGGACACTGCCCTCAGGACACTAGGCAGTGGGGGGAGATGACCCACCCTGAGGATTTCAGATCCAAGCCTTCCTCGTCCTCAGCCCTGGGGACCCATCTCGGGGGGCTTTGGAGAGCTCTGCCCAGCTCCTTCACCCGCTGACCCTGGAGCCTGAGGACCATTCCAGTCATGGCCACTCCTGAGCACCTCCTGGTGCCAGACGCCAAGCCTGTCAGAGAGGGTCTCCTGGAAGGCCCCAGCAGCCCTGTGCTTCCACGGAGAGTGAGCTCTGGTGTGTGGCCCTGGGGCTGCCCACAGGGACAGTGCTGACCCAGGCCCCTCCCCACCCCAAGCCGAGAGCTGCCCCTGAGCCATTACTCCTGGGCACATCCCCAGGGTCAGCACAGGCCCAGCATCTAGGTTGCAGACATCTGCAAACGGGCTGGGACAGTGGTGTGAGTCCACAGGGACAGCTCACAGCCCCTGAGTCCACGTGGACTGAGTAGGGAGTGGCCAGCCCCACCTTGTCCCTGAGACAATAGGAAACTGGGAGCTGCTCAGATGACCGCTCTGTCCCTGGGTGCCAAGGGTCCTGGGCCTCCGAGCACGTCACCTTTGAAGCAAAAAAGTGAGAGTTGCCCCAGCTGGGGCCTAGCTCCATCCTGGTGTGCCAGCAGCAGGTTCTGCCCGCAGCCAGGGACCTGGAGGGGACAGGGTGGCTTGCTCAGGAGAAGCCAAAGCCTTGAAAGTGGCCAGCGGTCTTCCCTGGGCAGCTGCAGAGTGCGCTGATGTAGCCCCAGGGACGTTCCTCATGCTGTCTATTCTGAGTGGGAAACTGAGAGTCCCAGAACCCAGGGGCCCTCTTTGTAACTTCTCTGCCAACCAGAGAGGGAGGCAGTGGCTCTCTGGTCACACAGCACAGCTCTTCCCCAGGTGCTTCCCTAGTGTCCCTGCTCAGCTGAAGGGGTTTCCAAAGCAGCCAGGAGGAGGCAGGTCCCCCATGCTTGGGAGGAACCCAACCGGTTAACCAGCTCTCCACTACTGAGCACCTACTGTGTGCCTAGGAGGCTCCAAGTGGGGTACAAGGACGACAAGGCAGCTGGAGTGAGATGTAGACTCCCGGAGCCGTGTCTGTGCTGTGATACCCCCAGGCCCTGGTACCTGACACATAGTAGCTTCCCTGTAAAGATTCGTTGAATGAATAGATGAAGTATCAAATTTGACGGGGTACAGATGAGCCACCTGGGCAAGACGCTCAGGGGAGGGGGGGAGTCACTGTGAGCCGCAGTGGCTTCAGGTGAGCATGATGGACAGGAAGGGGTGGGCACACGCAGAGCTGCAGAGGTGGGGGAGGTTGGAGGGAGTGGGGGGTGTTTGGGGGGATGCAGGATGAGGGGGAGGGGGATGGAGGGGGGTGGAGAATAGGTGGGGATTATACGCAACGCATGCGCAGTAGGTCAGGGGGACCGTGGACGGGGTGATGAGATGGACGGGTCAGGGGCTGGCTCCCAGGGGCCGTGGGTTCCTGAGGAGGGCAGTAGGGAGCCCTGGGAGGTTTTTGAGCAGTAGATGGGCCATCTGCAGCGCACCCCCACCCCCATGCCTCCTGAGCCCAGGCGGAGCAGGGTCTGACGGTCCCCCTGGGGTGGGGGGTGAGGACTGCTCTCATGGAACGTCACTCAGAGCTCGGACCGAAGCCTTTGGGTGGTCTCTGTGCCAGGGCCCATCCAAGGGCCTGGGCTTCTGGGTTCTCGGGGGCCCAGCTTCTCCCCCACCCCGTGAGGGCGACCTTGGCCGCAGCTGCTCCTGTGGTTTCCACGCAGGGAAAGGGGCTCCTCATTATCCACGAGGATGAGCTGGAGACGCTGCGGTCCAGTCGCCAGTGGGCATTTACAGGCTGCCCGCTGTGTGCCTGTGGCCACCTCAGGGGTGACCAGCACCCTTGCTCCCTGCAGGAGCTCCCGCTCTGAGGAGCCAGCCCAGGGCAGTGAGGGATGCCAACCAGGGAGGGCGGACGAGGGTCCATGCTCCCGGGCAGGTGGCTGTGGTGGGGACTCGGTCCAGCTGACTGCCTGGGTTTGAGCCCTGCTTTGCTGCCTGCGGACAAATGGATCGGCCCGTTGCCTTCCCCTCGAAGCCCCTGCCTTCTCATCCGTCCAGTGGGGGCTGAGGAGACCCTGTGGTAGGGTCGCCCCGGACTGCTGTTCCCTGAGGTGACGTCAGTCAGTAGCACACCCCGTTGTCTGGTCTGAGTTCCCTGCCCCCAGGGAAGCAGGGGCTGGGCTGCCCTTGGCAGACGAGAGGCCTCGGAGCCCTGCGGATGGAGGGAGGTTGGCCGGGCCACACTGAGCGGGCACGGAGGAGGGCCAAGGCGCCCAGCAGGACCCTGCGCCCCAGTGCTGGTGACCGCTTCCTCCAGCTCGCCTGTGTGCACACGGGAATCCCTGCGTCTGTGACCGCTTGGTCACTGAGTGTCCAGCCCAGACATCTGCGCCCACCTCTGAGGGCAGCAGGGGGCTGGGGGCATGTGTCCTGACCTGGGTCAGCCAGGGTGGGGCTCCCGGCCCTTTCTCTGATGGCCATCTCCCGTCTCTCTCGTCCCCACAGGACCACCTGAAGCAGTGCTTCTCCAGGCGACCCCCTGAGGCCAAGGACACAGACACCCTGGTGCACGAAGCCGATGGCCAGTATGGGACATGGGCAGACCAGCGTCAGAGTGGGGACAGGTAAGATCTGCAGTAGGACCGGCCACCACAGGGTATCTGGTTGCAGTGGATGCAGCGGCCCAGCAATTTCTGCAGCCCAGGTCCTCTTTGTTATTGTAAGAGGAAGCCATTCACATCAAAAAGAATCTTTACAAAGAAAAAAATATATATATATAAATATCAGATCAAATCTGGAGAATCTCCAATAGGCCAATCCAGAGACAGGGAGCAACTGAGGGCAACAGGAGGAGGAGCCTGCTGCACGTGGGCTGGGACTCCTCTGGGTGGCAGATACTTGGCGATGGTCCCAGGACTGTGTGGACGTGGTCAGTGTGGCTCACGGTGACCTTTGGGTATTTTGCCACTATAGACAATTTCAAAGAAAACAAAAACCACCTATAATCCCAGCAGATCTACCTTCATTCATGTTTTTCTGGTCTTTCTAGATTTCTCTCAGTGTGGGGAGGTGTTTACAAATGCAGGGGTGTGTCTCCTCCATGTTGCTTAATCAGCTGTGTCTGCTTAGAATCTCTGTTCATGAGTCGTGTGCGGTGGTGCACGCCTGTGATCCCAGCAGCTCGGGAGGCCAAGGCAGGAGGATCACGGGTTCATAGTCAGCCTCAGCAACTTAGCAAGGCCCTGAGTAACTGTCTGAAAATAAAAAATAAAAAGGGCTAGAGATGTGGCTCAGTGGTTAAGTGCCCTGGGTTCAATCCTCAGTACTAAAAAAAAAAAAAAGAAAGAAAGAAAAGAAAAGAAAAATCTCCACCATTCATGGCCAGTGGGCCTCAGTGGTCAGCCTGGCTCGGAGGAATATTCTGGCTACTGCAAAAGCCTGAGGGCTCTCAAGCATAACCAGATTGGGAGGCAGGCAGCTGTGAATCCAGTCCCACCCTGACTGGGTGCAGGACCCGGGTAGATGCCTTGTTTTCCCAATCACATGTTCCTCTTCCGTGAAAGGAAGTGATGCCCAAGAACTGGACACGCCTGGGGAGTGGGTGGGCCACACACATGGTGAGCACTTCCCATGTTGATTAAATGTGTTAGCATTTAATTCTGTCATTCTGTGTTCTAGAAGAGAAATCAGGCACCTCAGCACATGGACTGGTAACCTGCATGGAGATTAGGTCCTGGCACATAGTAGGAGCTTTTGTGTAAAGTGCCTGTTCTTGTTTCAGAAATACATTTCTTTCTTCATCTTTTGGATGGGGTCGAGACAGTATAATGGCTTCATGGCCACTCTGTGGATCTGCTGTGCCTTCAGCAGCCCACTCAGCAATTTCTGCCACAGGCCCACCTCTATCTAGAGCCCTGGTCAACCCCGGCTGGGCCACCTCCCGCCCTCTGCTGTGTGACTGTTTCTGTGTCTGTGGCCCTCATGCCCAGCCTAGGAAGCCGAGGCTCACAGGCAGCCCAGGGCCTGCCCAGGGTCACCATGTGTGTGTGGCTGAGCTGGACTCGAAGCCAGGTCTCCTATAGGCCCTCTCACTGTCAGGAGTGACCATCCCCCTCTACTGGGTCACATCCCATGACAGGTGCTGATTTGAAGCAGGGGTGAAGTTGATAGAATGGAAAATGGGTAAGAAAAAGGGGAGCAAGACAGTCCTGCAAATCTTTCTTTTTCTCTCCTAACCTGTGAAATTTAAAATAGGGTTTAGTTAGCTTCAGTTTCCTTAGAATGCCCTGCAAGGACGCTGGGTTATCGGGAGACCTAGACGTGGTTTTGCTCATCTCCTAAGTGACCCCCGGAGCCCCTTCCCCTCTCCAGGCCCCACATCCCCAGCTCGTAGACCAGGACCTGAGACCAGCCGGTCCCACCCAGCGCCCTGGTGGTGCGCGCCCCCTGCTGTCTCCCAGAGGTACTGCAGCGCCCCCAGAAGCTCCAGCCTTGGGCAGTGGCGCCATCTGCTGCCTGCTTGTTGATATTTCCCTTCTCTTGTGTGGGTTTGCTGGGTCCCACCCACATCCTCAGGGAGGCATCCCAGAGCTAACAAAAGCACCCTGGAATGCGGGACAGCAGGGTCGAGAAAGTTCTGCTGGCGGGTGCAGCTTGTGGGTCCTTCAGCTTAAGTCGGGTGGGCACCCCCTTCCTCAAGGGGAGGGCTCCCCAGGCCTGCAGCTCGGCTGCCTTGCCGACGTGGGTGTGTTCTGTGGAGTGCCGGGGATTTAATTGCTTGATTTCTGTATCAATTTTCTATCCTGTGTGGTTCCAGTTTTCCAGATGATACGTGAATATGATCATGGGAAGGGATTTGAGTGGTAGGAGAGGCTCATGAGGGAGGGTCCTGGAGTGCAGCTGCCTGGGCCATCCCAGCTCTGCCCCTTTGGGGAAGCAATGTTGCTTCTCTGTGTCGGGTTTCCCAGTCTTTAATATTTAATTTCATGAGGTTACTGCCACCTCACAGTGTGGTGGGCATCAAAGGATTTTAAATAACCCTCATAGGATCATGAAGAGGATTGAAGGGTACTGCGTGGCACATAGTAGGTGCTCAGTAAATCACTGCATGAGTGAGCGGGTGCCCTCCGGACTTCTTGGGTACCTGCTGGTGGCCACTGATCAGCATCAGAGACCCCCCCTTCCCCATACACACACAGATACACAGACATCATGTCATTTAAGATGTCCCGGTGGGTAGGAAAGGAGTAAAAAGAAACAAGAAATATAAGCTAACTCTAAAGCTCACAAAATTTAACCCACAGTTGATTTGAACAGTGTATTTGGTGGAACCCAACCCATCCGACTTGCTCCCGTCTCACCACGTGAGCAGCGCGGGAAGTCACTAGGGAGACATGGCCCGGTCTTTTGTGCGAAGGGTTAGATGGCCCCTGCGCACCTCGCGCTCGCGGCGATCCAGGCTCTCACTGGCCACATCGCAAGGCCCCGACGCCACCCGGGACCACACAGGGCTGGAGAGTCTTGGATGGCGCGGGGCCGACTGTCCCTGCCCCGCCCCTCCCCGGATGCCCGGGGCACCACAAGCCGCGCCCGGCTGGCAGGTCCTGCGTTTCCGGGAGGCGCTGCCCCGCGAGGTCCCCACGCTGCTCCCCGGTGCCCACAGCGCCCCACCCAGCGGCTCTTCTGCCACCGCCTTTCCTTGAGGCTCGGGTCTCTGAAGCGCCCTCCGTGATCCGTCTGCCCTCCTTCCCTGTGTCCCAGCTTGGCCCCCGAGTCACCGTCTCCGGACAGCAGCACCCCGTCAGCGCGGAGACAGCCCCTCAGTGGCCGCTTGTCCTCTCTGTCCTCGCAAACGGAGCCCGCCTCGGCCGCCGACCAGCGGAGCACCAGCGTGGACCGCTCCAGCTCCGAGCTGGAGTCCACCGACGGGGCGGACGGGCTGCCCCCACCGGAGCCCTGCGCAGCTGGCGGAGCGGACGACTTCTCCTTCATCGACGTAAGTCCTGGCCAGGAGCACAGCTGGGTGCCATCGGTCTTTTCCCTTTAAAGGGAGGTGCAAGCATCCCCCTGGAGACTCCCCTTCAGGGGTGGGCAGGGTCATGCCAGGGCCCCTGCGCTGGGTGCAGAGGGCACAGGGTGAGACGAGACCCACTTGGACCACCGTACACCAGCTGTGGGTCTCTGGGCAAATGTCTTCACCTCTCTGAGCCTCAGCTTCCTTATCTCTTTGTAACCTGCACAGTGGGCGCACAGCCTTACACACGGTCACATGTTCAGTTAAAAGTGATCTAAGCCCTCACCCACCAGGAGGGCAGAGGGCCACCTCCCTGCCCCCAGGGAACTCTCCTGAGGTTTGCAGTTCCAAGCACGAAGAGCCCAGGGTTGGCTCAGAATGATTGTGCCCATGTCCCCCCTGTCTTTCACAGAACAGTGTCCCTGGTGCCAGGGCAGTGGGTCTCTGCAGCAGCCATCCCAAGAACCAAAGCCCCTCAGGCAGGCATCCCTTGGATTCAGCTCCTTCTGGGTACAGAGCTCTGTGGCAGCCGACATGCTTGTGCGATGTCCCCAGGAGGCTGTGTGCCTAGTGTGTGCAGGCACGGTGCTGGGTCTCAGGCCCACTGCTTCATTGATTTTTTTTTTTTTTTTTTTTTTTTGGTACCAGGGATTGAACTCAGGGCCTTCGACCACTGATCCCCATCCCAGCCCTATTTTGCATTTTATTTAGAGACAGGGTCTCACTGAGATGCTTAGGGTCTTACTTTGGCTGAGGCTGGCTTTGAACTCAAGATCCTCCTGCCTCAGCCTCCCAAGCCACTAGGATGACAGGTGCGAGCCACCATGCCCAGCTCCATCAATTCTTGTAATTGGCCTAGTGGTTCCTGTGGAGGGGTTTAGGTGAAGGGCATTTGGGTTACCATCGACAGGCTAGCCCACGCGATAACGAACTAGTGCCTCAGGGATCAGGAACCTATAGGCATCCTGCTGTGGACGCTCTCCTCAACTCACGGATCCTTTGCCTTTTTTCTTCCTCCTTGCCACCCCCAAAGCAAACCTCAGTCCTCGACTCCAGTGCCCTCAAGACCCGGGTGCAGCTCAGCAAAAGAAGCCGCCGCCGGGCTCCTATCTCCCACTCTCTCCGGCGAAGTCAATTCAGCAAGTCAGAGAGCCAGTCTCCTTTGGAGGAAGAGATTGATAGCATGTGGATGTTCAAGGACTCAACAGGTAGGCCAATGCCTCTGTCCTACCTGGTTACCACATTGAACAGCAGGAAGGACCTAGGTTAAACTCTAGGGAGAACTTCCTGGTTTTAGAGGCATGTGAACATTAGAACACAATTAAATAGAAAACTGATTTCTGGTTCAGAAGAGCTTATTGGAAACCAGGCAAAAAAATGTTCTGAGGGATAATATAATAATTGAGGCCCTTTGGGTTTCACAACTTAATAGGGGTTTACTCTTTTTGCTTTTATCCTTATTAAGGTATAAATTCACACTTATACCTTCTTTATATTTGTTTGCTGGTCTTTTCCTAAATGCTTGGGTTAAAAGATCATTTATTTTCAGTCTTTCCTAATGAATCACTTTAAGGCTATACATTTTCCTCAAAGGACTGCTTTGGCTGCATTCTGTATCAAAATCTGAGCTGACTCTCAAAGAACAGAGAAGAACGATCTAGGTAAAGGTATTCCAGGCAGCAGTGTCCATGAGATCTAAGGGACACACATGTGCAAAGAGTGTTCTGTGTGTCTGGGGACTCTCTAAGCAGTTTGGTGTCCCTCAAGCTGGGAGCGATGGGAATGAGGCTGGAGAGGTTGGCAGGGGCCAGGCCCTGGAGACCCTTGACGATGTGCTGAGGAAGTAGAACCCATCTGTAGGTGGAGAGCCACCAGAGATTTTAAGAAAAGCAAAGTTTCTTCAGGTCATGGGAACCAGGGCAGCTGGCCCGTGTGGACAGGAGGATGTCAGACCAGCCCCTGAGCCGGGGGAAGTGCATTGCTCCTGCAGATAGCCACCTGTCACCCGGGCTTGGAAGATCCACGTCCCCCTCTCCCATCGGTCTCTGTTGCTAAGGATACGTTCAAGTGCCTTGGGGGAAGGGGACTCCTCCCCGCACCTGTCCTTGGTTTTCTGGGGCGAGCTCTGCTAAGTCCCCTGGAGCAGGTGGAGGCCAGCAGGGACAGAAGCACACAGAGAGCTCCAGCTCTGAGGAGCTGGCCCAGGGCAGGGCACTTAATGGACACGCCGCAGCCCCTGCCTAGTCTGGGGGCTCCAGAGGCCAGCGCTCCCTGGTTCACCTCCCACACCTACCGTGCCCACACCTGTGTCCAGGTCTCAGGGAGCCGAGGCCCCCTGCACGCTGCCTGCTGTCCCCGAGGGCTGGGGACAGGTAGCCCCTCCCCTGGAGGCTGTGGCTGGGGTAGCTCTTGTGTTCTCTAGGGTCACAGCTCCAGGGGAGAGGCTCAGGGTGTGTCCACTCCTTTCCTGTCTCTGCCACCATGTCCTTCTTGTTCCCTGCCATGGCGTGAGCCAGGAGGGGGTCTGTCTGCCCACCGCAGGAGAAATCTGGCTTTCCTGACACCCACTTCTCCTGGCAAGAGCCGGAGTTGTGCAGAGAAAGGCGTGAGCGGGGGTGTTCTTTAGCACAGCCGCAGTGCCCTCCTCTCAGGGCAGTGGGCAGGGAGGTGCCGGTCCTGGCCCCTAGGACCTGGGCAGATGCCGGGCCATGACTCCAGTGCCCTTTTCTTTGCCCCAGAAGAGAAGTCGCCCCGGAGGGAAGAGTCAGATGAGGAGGAGAAGCCTCCTAGGGTGGAAAGAGCTCCCGCCAGCCTCCCTCAGAGGGTGCCCGTGTTCCCGGGCATGGACCCAGCCGTGCTGAAGGTAGGGACCCCAGGACTGCCCGTGCCCCCCTC